GGGTCCTGGGATCGAGCCCCGCATCGGGCTCCCTGCTCAGCGGGAAGCCTGCTTCTCCCTCTCCCACTCCCCCTGCTTGTGTTCCCTCTCTCGCTGTATCTCTCTCTGTCAAATAAATAAAATCTTTAAAAAAAAAAAAATTGATTGCATATGAAAACACCAATGGAAGTCAAATAGATACCCTTAAATTAATATAAGCATCACACACTTTGACCAATATGATCAAATTAAAAATTTGAAATAAGTTTTTAAATAACTTATGGATCAAAGATGAAATCATAATGGAAACTATAAAATATTTATAAATAAATGAGAACAACACTTGTAGCATGTAGCTAAAGCAGAATTTAGAGGAAAAATTATAGCCTTAAAAAGTATATGTTGAAATAAAAGATTGAAAATTTAAGTAATAAAGATAGTAAGTTTGTAAAAGAATAATACAACAAATTCAAAGAAGAAATCCAGAAATAATGATGACAAAAGGATGAATTAAATGAAATTGGAAGGAATGAAGCAGTAGAGAAAATCAACAAAACCAAAATTTAGTTCCTTCAAAATACTAGTAAAATGAACCAACCTCTAGAAAGACTGATAAATAAAACAGTTTACACAAATTAATATTAGACTATCTAAAGTAAATTTAATTGAAGATACAGACATTAAGTCAGAGTGGCAGGGGCATGGATGTTTATTATTTTAGGCTCTTGAAATATTTCACAGAAAGCAGATCATAATCTTGGGCATTATGCCTTAGTCCGGGCATTGCCTGTTGCCTCTCTTCCGTAGCATGCTTCAACAGGGACCAGTTCTCCCCTATCCCTGTGCACACAACTCCAAATGACTAGTGCATTCCTGCTTTGTACCTGCTTGGTAGAAAGCTGACATTCCAGCAGTTGAAGCAGTGACAGAGGTAAACTCTGAAATCAAGAGGCTGAATGCCTCTAGCAAAGGTTAGGGAGAACAAGTCTCCTGTCCACATGTGGTCAAAAAGATGGATACAACTTGGGCATAGGTAGTAGCTGGCCGTGGACATCTTGCTTATGAAAGGTACTGGCTTCCTTGAGCCCTTCTTATTCCTAGTCATCCCAAGATTATCCAACCGCCTTTCCTTACCTGGTTGATACTTTTCATCCCTTTGGCACTTTTAGCTTCAGAATATGTGTGTAAAATTAAGTTTGCGCTCTGGCTTGATCTGAGACACAAGCATAACCTTGTTGAAGCCCAAGTCCTAAAATCCTCAAACAGAAGGCAGGCACATCCTAGGTCTGTAGCCAAGGCCTCGAAACCCTATTTATTATCATTTTCTTGCTCCAAAAAATGGCAGGTTGCAATAAAAGAAAAAGACATTTTGTTGAGTTTAAAATGAATGTGGACTCGATATATAGTTTTTACTTTTCAGTTTAAAATGATTGACTTGTTCTTGTAAGCTTTCTCTGATTTGAATAGTGTTCTATTCAATATGTTCAGACTATTTTTTAAAAAGTGTGTTGGCTATGATTCTTAATTCTGATAAGCACAGTATTCAAAAATTTATATTGTGAGGAAAATTAGGATGTCATTGGTTTCTTTTTTCTATAATATTTCCTTTGTGACTTCATCTTCTTCTGTTCTAGAGTATTGTCTCTCGTCTATTTTAAAAAGAGCCTTTGGCTGGGGGGCTCCTGGGTGACTCAGTCAGTTGAGCGTCTGCCTTCGGCTCAGGTCATGATCTCAGGGTCCTGGGATCAAGCCCAATTGCATCAGGCTCTCTGCTCAGGGGGGAGTCTGCTTCTCCCTCTCACTCTCCCTCTGTGCTCTCTCTCGCAAATAAATAAAATAAAATCTTTAAAAAAAAAAAAGACCCTTTGATCTATGATTTGCAGTGAGTTATCATATAGTTTGGTTCTTACTATTACTTAAACTTTAACAAAATCAACAACAAAATAGCCGTTGTAGCTATTTACTAGAGACTCACACAAAAACCCTTTAACGAAGTCAGCTCAGATAATATTGTCATTTTCTACAGAAGAAAATAGTGAATCTGAGAGGTGCCATATTCCATAAATTTGCCCTGGTTGCAGAGCTGGTTGTAGACATAGGGCTGGATAGTATTCCTATTCCTCTCGTGATGATGTTCTTGGGATTCCAGATATGTGTTCCACACTTGCAGAACAAACACATAGTTACAAATAGCTAAGTACATAAATGTGGCTATACACATGCAGAATAGGAAATAATTAAAATAAGTGTACTGCATTTTTTCTTTGTGGACTCAGTACAATGCTTAAGTGAAAAAGATGTAATTTCCCTATTTCTTTGCACGGTATTTACTAACATTTATCATATCTGTCACTGATCTTATGGTACTGAACTTGATAAAGAACATAATAATCTTAAAAACAAAAAAACCAAAAGTCATCTCAACATAAATGATGTTGATCCCTGGTCTGGGTTCATTCTATTAACTAGATAATTATCCAATATCTACTTTAATTTGTGTTTGTGTGGATAAACCCTAAGCCATTTTGCTGAATGTTTGGGAATGATTCCACTGGAGGATTGGAAGAATTGATTCCTAGGCAGCACTAGACTTAGCTTTAGTTTAGAGACTTGCCTTCCTCCTGTGCAAAGGAAGAGGAGTTCTGGTCACCTTGGCTTCCACACGCCTACAGAAAAGAGCAGGGCCAGAATCTCTTGCCTCCGTGTGCTAGGTGTGTGATCTGATATAGCATTCTTCATTAAATGCCTCCCCTAGCCTCCTCTATAGGTTTTCCTGGGGTGAGGTCTATTTAATTTACAATTGGCTATGAGGAGATGTATTTTGGGACAAAAATTCATATATAAATAAATATATATTTTTTTCTTACTTAAGATTCCCTCAATGGTTAATCAACTTTACCTACTTTCCTTATCTGTGAAATGGACACAGCATTTTATGGCAGTTGATGAGAATTATTTCAGAAATGTTTAGAATTCAGAGATTCTTTCTTGGCTAAAAGTTATTTTTATCGACATCATTGAAGTTTGACCTGCCTTCACTAAGCTCTCCAGATACATATGCTTAGTAATAAAATACTTAGCCACAAAAGGTAACTATTTCTTTTCTGATGGTTCTTGCTGTGTTTTTTTCCCCCAAGCGGGCTTTTCCAAAGCTAATATATCTGCAAAGAGACATATGCTTTAGGTCTGTACTTGTTAATTTACCTTGGAAAAATTAGGTCATCTTCAAATCTGGCAGTGTGGCTTATAAACTTGGCAAAATGGTCTAATTAAAAGCTTCTCTTTGATTAAAAAAAAGGAAAAAATTATTAGAATCGGTAATGTTTTCATTTTCGTGGTTTGTGTACATATAGGTATATGTCACTCCTCATGCTGCACTAAAAGTATGTTGACTGTTAACAGTTCATCTCTTTTCTTCTACAGCCTCCAAGTCTGTTATAAATAGTATGCTACGGGACCCTTCTCAGATTCCAGATGGAGTTCTAGCAAATCAGGTCTATCAGGTATTAATCACAGCTGTCTATTTTCAGTGGCAGTGCTATCTGCCTAGCAGAGTAAAGGATTTTAAACCTCATTTAATTACTGTCATCGTAAACTATCACTGAGGTCAGGGTGCACCATAAATGGCAATGCAATATTTGCGAGAAGAGCATTTCACTTTTTAATAGCTTGCTTTTATAGTGAATAAAAAGCATGGGATTTTTGTTTTCTGTGATTAAATCTTAACAGCCTTTGATAGTTTGTTTTTTTTTTTAAGAAACGTAATTACAGCTTTTAGGATACTAGTTCACGGTAACAGTTTTTGTAGTCACCCCAGACCCCTTCTCTGTTTTGTCCGCAGTGCATCGTGAACGACTGCTGTTATGGACCACTGGTGGACTGCATCAAACAGTATCCTTTCCCATAAAATTTTAGGTGCGCAATTGACGAGCTCAGACTCAGTGGAGGAGATGTGTCTAGCTTTAACCTGACATAAAGTTCTGCTTCACAAAACACATTTCATACTCTTCTACTTTACATTCAGTCAGCTGGAGGGTCACTGCAGACCATCCTTTCCTCCAGCTTAAGGAAAATCAGATGGGCCACGGGAAGCTGTCGGTTCGGCAGTTATGTGCACAGGCTTAGCTCAAACTGCTGGGGTTTCAGAGAGTTTAAAGGTACAGAGTCATTGGGCATGTAACTTACTATCTGGGAGTGTGGCTCACCAATCCAATGAACATTTTAAAAAAATAGAACAAATTTCTATTTTAAATGAGCCAAATTCAGTTGAGTTTCCTAGAACAAATTTTGAGCCTGGAGTTCAAGGATGACGTGATTAAAATGCCGCGCAGACCATCACATCTGAAAGGGCAGTAGATTCTTGTTGCTTAAATGCTGATTACAGTCTGCACTGCCATTTGCATCCCTAATAAACAACTTTAGAGAAACCAAGCTAATTTACCCATCTGCCATTTGCATCCATAATAAACAACTTTAGAGAAACCAAGCTAATTTTTCCGTCTGGACTGAACTTAAGGCTATGAAAACAGACGTCCAGTCATTCTTCATTAAAGACATTGAGATTACTAAAGAGTTAATGCTTACTTCTTGAAATGGGATTTGAGCCAACAGTCACTACTTCATGAAGGGGCATGTTCTTCATCCATACATTTAGTAGCATTGTGGCAATACTAAGAATTTTGATAATCCTGGGTGGAAAATACTATTTAAAGGGTCAATAACTAGTAATTTTTTTAATGAAAATTATCTTCCACCTGAGTGCACGAGTCTTGCATTTCTTAATGCTGTAACAGCCTTCCTAATAGAGGTTTTGTGAGTGTGGATAGCACTGTGACCAGTGGAGATTCAGTGCTACCAGTCAGGAAGCTTTCTGTTGAAAGCCTTTTTTGTTGGAAATCAAGTGTTTGTGTGTGTGTATGTGTGTGTGTGTGTGTGTCTGTCTGTTTATCCCACCTTGTTTTCACAAAGGCTTAGGGTCTGTAAAATTTTTGTAACGAAACTCACTCATTTTCTTTTTTATAAAGTTAACCTTTGAAAAATAATCTCTTCACAGAGCCCTCTTGTAAGAATATTCACTACCTAAGTTACAGCCCTTTACATATTTATCCTTCAAGTCAGTTCCCCCAATGTAGTTTAAATTAATAAAATCACAGCACTGTCATAAGCTTGCCTTTTTATTGGACCAAAGTGAAACCATACTTCTATTTTCAGTATAAAATTAATGATAGCATTAAAAATTGTAGGAGTGCCAACCTCATGTTGCTACAGTGATAAAGTTTAGCACATTTGTGTAACAACTAACACCATCTCAGAGTATCTGGGGTGGAATTACATGTTAATTTTAAAGCATATAAAATAGTTAAAAATCAATTTAAAGTTAAGGTTTTAAAAGCATAATGTCTTTTGAAGGATTGCATATTGATTTTAAATATAACTATCTAATTATATATGCATGGACTAAAGTATGAAGTCAACTGCTTTGTAAATGCCAGGAGGCTATTTTTCAGTAATAGTTGAGATGCTTACGGGAAACTAGATTGCTGCATTGCTGGCTAAGAAAATGGCTTGTGAGGTTATTTACAAGTTTTGCCCCATGGTCACTGCCATACATCAATAATAGGTATTATTATAGACAAAGTCTAAGTGTTTTCTGCTTATAGAGCATTATAAATTCTGTTCAGAGTATTTTCTTTACATTTTTGCCATCATTCACTTTCCTTTTTTGGCTATGTTATTGCTAGTAGAATTTAATGTAGTACATGATTTCAATTGATAAAGATAATGATGAATGTCTATAAATTGCATTCACTGACTAGATTATAATTTTGCAGTTCCATTATGCCTATTGCCAGTAAAATTACTGTTTTTATAAGCTTTGTGTTCTAGACCTTGTATTTTATATATGTTTATATCAAGCAAAGAATAATCAAGAAGTATGTCTTTCCCAAATTTCAAATCGGTGATTGCTTTTACCATGCAAAATAAAACAAGCTGGGAAATTTATAGAGGAACTGATTTTATTTTTGCATTGAGGTAGTAGCAGTTTCATATAATGTAAATATACTTGCATAGATGTTTCCTAGACTGATCCACAGGAATTACTTTATTTCACACTGAATAAAAATTAGTAGTTTTCCATGTGAGTGAAAATGCTATTTGTATGTTGTTCTGATAATTTAGTAATGTTTACATTGCTTACTGTCGGTAAATTACATCATTTTGTAAGAAAGTACACATTTAGTAAATAGAATTGGTGCAAAATCTTTTTACTCCATTATGAAAATGTTACATGTAGACATTTGTGTAAGTAGAATAAAGGAAATTGGTCATTTACAAATAAGACACCACGAAAAGCACAGTAGCAAAGAGTATATAAATTGTCATTGTGCTTTCTTTTTCTTTTGGTGTCTGCAACATTTTTTCCTGCATAGCCATGTCCATCCACCCCTTTGCTGCCACAGATATAGTCACTGACACAAAAGGTGTGAGAAACCAGCCACCTCAACTTTCCAAAGTGTGACTCCAGGACACAGCTATTACACAAAGACCTACACAGAGAAGCAAGGAAAGATAATGATGCAGGAAGCTTAAAATGCTGTGGGTTTCATTTCTGTACCATCAGTAACCTCAGTTTCATGATTCAACATTTTAGATGTAAATAATTTACAACAATAAAAGTGAGAGCGCATTTATGTGGATTAGAAGTAAATAATTTAGTTCTAACATGTGGGATGCCCCTAATAATGAGAGACTGTAGAGAGATATTCATCAGATATCTTCAGTGGACTCTGCAAATGTGTGAAATTTTGTGATTTGAAAATTTTTGTTCCTTTATTCTGTTTCCAATTAGAAATTAAAGAAGCACACCACGTGCATGGTGGGGGGAGGTGACAACAGAAGGAAAAATTGCAATGATGAAGACTTGGGGCTCATTTTGACGGTGGACATGAGTGGCCACATCTCTCGAATTATGATTTAAATGATATTCACCTGTATGTGTTGATAAAGGGCAGATAATGCTCTAGGAATTTTTTAAAATAATGCATACATTTTATTTCATTTTAATTGAACTCTTTCAGTGCATAATCAGAATCAGAGAGTCTTTGGTAAGCTGAGGAGTGGTACGACCAGGTTGACATTATCCAATGGAGAGTTAGATAATTAATACCAAATGCTTTTGACAGAATCAAAGTACCAGAATAGGACAACGCTCCTTTTCAGATATTGTGCAATCTCATCCTTTTGGAAAATAGAGCAGAATTCCAAGTCCTATTCCTGATTTAATTATTTACCAGCCATGGGACCTTCAGAAAGTTCCTCAGCCTTCTTGAACCTTGCTTTCTGTAATTATAAAAATGGGATTAATAATAGTACTTATTCATGTGGTGGTGGTGAAGGTTAAATAAGATGATAACCCAAGTGGAAATGCAAATCAAAACTACAGTGAGATATCATTTCACATCTGTCAGAATGGCTAAAATCAACAACACAAGAAACAAGTGTTGGCGAGGATGTGGAAAAAAAGGAACCCTCTTGCCCTGTTGATGGGAATGCAAATTGGTGCAGCCATGATGGAAGACAGTATGGAGGTTTAAAAATAGGACTACCCTATGATCCAGTGATCGCAGTACTGGGCATTTATCCCCAAAATACAGAAACACTAATTCAAAGGGATACATGCACCCCTGTGTTTATATAGCATTATTTACAACAGCCAAGATATGGAAGCAACCCAAGTGTTCATTGATAGCTGGAGGAATAAGACGTGGTGTATGTACACACATACACACACACACAATGGAATATTGTTCAGCCATAAAAAGAATGAAATTTGCCATTTACAATGATATGAATGGATCTAGAGAGTATAGCTAAGTGAAATAAGCCAGTCCAAGACAAGTACCATATTTCATTCATATATGGAATTTAAGAAACAAAAGAGCAACGGAAAAAAAGACAAACCAAGAAACAGACACTTAACTATAGAGAACAGATTGGTGGTTACCAGAAGGGAGGTAGGTGGGTAGGAGGATGGGTGAAATAGGTGATGGGGATCATAGAGTGCACTGGTGATGACCACTGGGTGATGTATGGAAGTGTTGAATCACTATGTTGTACACCTGAAACTAATATAACACTATTTTAACTATACTGGAATTAAATTTTTAAAAAAAAAATGATAGGCTGGGATGGTAGCAGAGGAAGTAGTAGAAATTTGGTGAATATTGTATTTAGTTATAAGTTGACACCAACAGGAGTCGCCGATGTATTGAGAGGAGTGTGGGAGAAAGGTAGGAGTTGAGGACTCCTGCATTCTGATTTGAACAGCATGGGGTTGTCAATAACTAAAATGGTAATGAAGCAAATGGCGTATGCATGTGTGAGCAGCTGAACGTAATGAATCTGTGAAACTATAACAATAAAGTAATCAAAGTTTATTGAGGACTTACCAAAAAAAAAAAAAGAAGGTGATACCCCAACTGTTTAACACCGAGGCTTTGTGTTACAGTGCTTAAGAAATATTAGCTAGTATCAATTATTTTTACATAATTATTTTAATACTTTTAAAGAAGTTGTATGGAGGTCATACAAAAGGCTTTGTGAACATCATATTCCAATCCTTTGCTTTGCCACACTTGAACCGTATAACTGTGTGCGAATTCTTTTCTAAGCTTTGGTTTCCTCATCTATAAAATAAGGATGATAATAACTAAGGATGAAATAACATACATAGGGCGCCTGGGTGGCTCAGTTGGTTGGGCAACTGCCTTCAGCTCAGGTCATGATCCTGGAGTCCCAGGATCGAGTCCCACATCAGGCTCCCTGCTCAGCAGGGAGTCTGCTTCTCCCTCTGACCCTCTTCCCTCTCGTGCTCTCTATCTCTCATTCTCTCTCTCTCAAATAAATAAATAAAAAATCTTTAAAAAAAAAAAACCATACATAAAGCACTTAACACAGTACCTACCTCATAGTAATCGCTCAAAGAATTTACATGTGTGTGTGCGTATCTGTTTCTATGAATATGATCATATGTGTGCACTCTCGCACACGAGAGGAAGACTTGAAGAATCCTCTGCACCCGCACCCCAACCCCACAGTCCTTTGCAACATGCAGTCTTTCCTCCAGGGTGCCTAGAATTCTCAACAAGTCAGCTATTTGGCTTCCCATGTCACATAAGATCACCAACCATAGGCTGAAAGTGGGACAGAAACTAGAAATGCTGGTTCTGGGACAAGTATGGATTCTTAGAAGATTTATGGAACTCTGTAAGACTGGAAACTCCTTTAAGGCAAAGCCTGGTTGGTATTCTTTGCTGCATTTAGTAAGTGCTTAATAAATGCACTAAATTGAATTAAGGGATTTTTAACATAGTACAAAGGATGTTTAAAATGACTCTGCCTCCTTTCAAAAGAAGATAAGGTACACATCCATTTACAAATCTTTATTTGCCCAAATGCATATAAACACTACAGAAATAGAAAAATTCCCCTGAATCATTAAATGAGGGCATGTATGTAGAAATCTCATTCCTCAGAAATGTGGGCTAAAGGTGGAAATAGTTGCTATGATTACTCTATTTTCCATTTCATCTCAAAGTAGAGACCTGGTATTAGCATATTTTTTATTGTGTAATTCCACCTGTGTTACCCTCCTTAACTAAAACTTCTTAGTGCCATTGGTCATGAGCACGAAGTCCTGCTAAGAGACATGCTTCTGGAGAAAAACCTGTCCTTCCTAGGTAAGTATTACTTACATCCTCTCTAGCTTGTAATATCTGCATGAGTGCTTAAATATGTATTTTTAAAAATCTTCCACTCGCAGTTATTATATACTAAAAGAATAGTGAACAATGATTGATGCTGTGCATGTTATCTTTTATTGATTTAGAATTAAGCAGGAACTCAGTTACCTAATCCCTATATATACAAAACATGCACAGGCTTGCAATTAATATTTTATGGAATAAGTGGCTGAAAAAATGCTTTAATATCTGTTGCAGTATTACTTTTGGTGTCATGAGATATTAGCCGTAATCTAGGCCTTATGAGACAAAGAAACAAAAGAAATACTGTCTATAAAATGCTTTATATGTTAAAAAGAATAGTTAGAAAAATTCATGTTGGATATGTTTGTCTAATGTATGGAATCAGAGTGTACTTTTACTTGAAAGTCAAATATTACGCTTTTATTATTTTTATGAGAGACATTGTCATTATAGATTTAGTGTGATTTTTAAAAATCTCACATGTATACATGGACATGTGTTTTTGTGTGTGTACCAATGTGGAATCTTGTTATAGATTGTTATTTCTTTCAACATCTGAAGCATTAAAATTAAGCCTTGAAGGGCATACATGTGATAACTGATCACAGAAACCATAAAGCACTCTACAATGAATTAATTCCTCTTCTCCACTGTAGATGTAATTTTAAAGGTTCTATACCAACCTAAATGTGCATTGTACACATCTGTTATATGTAGATATTTAAGTCTGCATAGTGTGTTTTTTTAGGTTGAAAAAAATCACAGAATATTGGATTACACAACCTTTGTTCCAAAATGGACAAAGATTTGGCCAAGGAAAGTCCATTGGATGGCCTTACATCAAGTTGGGGAGGGATGTTGAAGACAAGCCTGCAGAAAGTCTGTTTTAAGTCTTAGTGTTCAATATTTTTATTAATGAACTGGAGAATGGAGTTGAGTGTATTATCAGGTTGTTGATAATTTTAAGATGGGAGATCTCATAAATGTTCTGTAGCAGGGGCTAAATAAAGTTGATTTAGGAAAATGGCCTCAAATTAGTGAATTAAATTTCAGTATGTGAAAGTAACAAGTTTTTTCATGTAAGGGAGGAGGAGCAAAAGGCTTACATGTGGTCTAAACTGAGTTCCACGTCCTTGACTCCCTTGATTTTGTGAACAGTGTTAGACTGAATTGACCATGGCCAGCAAAGACAATGCAGAAACATGGCCAGAGTCATTAGCACTTGCATACAAGTTCAGAAAGGGGACTTACTATTCATGGGTCCCATCTAGTTCTCTGTGCTATCAGGTCTAGAGATAACTATTTTATTAAAGTACACCCAAAGGTGATACTTAACTGATCTCTAAAATAAATGAGTTATAGGATATTTAGCTGATTCCATGTAACCTCAGTGCTGTTTTTAAGCATTTCCTTATCAGCATACAAAGAAGTTAATTTATTCTATGCATTTTAAGCATTTTAATGTAGTACTGAATTACTACAAGTTTATTTACAAGTTAAAGCATGAGAATTCAAAGCTTTGTGTGAAATATTGTTCTGGGGTTTTCTTTTACCTTGTATATATACCCCTTCACAGTGATTAATTAGGTCTAAAGTACTGTGCCAGGTAAATTTAGATAGATTATCATTTCAAGTCAACTACTGAAAAATATTGGTATATAAATAGACCACTAATCTGATGTTTTCTTGTTTACATGCATACATCTTGAATTTTGTTGCAGAGCCATTACAAACATGTGTTTTACTTTGATTCTTTTATAAGCAAAAGCAAAACCGATCTCTCCCTCTCTTTCTCTCTCTCTCATTCGTTTGGTTTCTAGTCTGGCCACTACTTTCAAAAGGCAAGGATTCTTATTTTTACATATTAACCCTTCTTAAGAATTATGACTTCCCTGAAAGTCTGTCCCATTCTAAATTTTCCACTCATTGTGCTCTATATGTAATTTTATAAAATACATACCTTATATGACCATTTTACTAAAAGAAGAGAAAAATAAAAATAACCTTTATTTTAACCCTAATAATTTTTTTAATTTCCTTGATTCATAACCATATACTGAGCAGTTGTTATGGCACAAGATTTAACCATGCACTATTGGAAAGAAAAAAAAGAAGAGTACTTTTCATTGAAGATTTGCATATACTCATGGATTTATCCTATTTATAAATTTATAGGTACATTGTATTCAGAGAATTCAAAGTTGAATAAATGTTTAGTTTTTCCTACTAAAAACATATATTTTATTCATACATTTATTGATTTATTCCAAAAATAAGTTACTGAGTTAGGTACTATTTATTAGGAACTAAATATTAAGTCAGATGAAGTTCCTCCTTTTGTGGAATTATGGTCTAGTAGGGAGATAAGCTATAAACAAATGTACACAATTTCTAGCAATTTCTCAGAGTTCTTGTAATTCTTTTATTTTTATTCATGCATTCTTTTCAACTAACTCTTGTTGAGCACGTTTTCTACTACTAGTTAGTGTGAACATGATGGTAAGCATTTTGTTCCCTCTGGATGCTTACAGTGATGCACACTATTTCCATGTCAAACCCAGTAAGAATACAGTTCCATCACTAGTGCATCTCCGTAGGTACTCACTTGATGGTCTTGATAATGAAAATAAATACATTCAAGGCTGTTGTTGTGCTACTTCTATTAAACTTTTGAAAGAAAGGTATAGATTATACTAAAAATCAAGAGCCACCCTTTACATATAAGAAAATGCTACTGGCCCATAAGCTACTTTTCCTGAAGTGGTGATAGAATTTTACTTATTCATCTGCTCTCTCACCAGCACCTTCCTGTCACCATGTGCTTCTAGGCCGGCTAGCTGAGCTCCTTAGCTTGGTTATCTTACCACTGTGCTAACCAGTCTTTTCTTTCGTTGGTTCAGCAGACAGATATCTTTTAAGAAGTACTTACTTTGGGCGGGCACCATTAGGGATAAAAAAATAAAAGTTGAATTTTTCCTGGAAGGAAAATTTCAGATAAGTTTCAGGTAAGTTCATGTCAGTTCTTTCCAAGGAGAGTAATATAGAATTATTGATCCGCATTTAACGTCTGAGAAGATGTGAAGAGCCTGCTGCCCACTCCTAGGCACAGATGCACAAAGAGCCCTTCTTAAGCTTTAAATTGACCAACAAGCATTGTGATCATCCTTATTCCCACTGCTAAGGGTTCGTTCCATTTCTAATATCAACAAAATAGAAAAGGTATTTTAACTACTGGTGGAGATGTTTTGATTTTTATCTCTCCAGTGACTAATGAGACCATGTTTTGCTGCCTCTCCCTACCCCCACCCTCTCCTTCTCAGGAGTAAGGAGGAACTTTGGACAAAAGGCAAGGGAGGAAAGGAAAATAGTGATAGTAAGAAGACGATGAGACTGTTTGTGGGCGCCTGGGTGGCTCAGATGGTTGGGCGTCTGCCTTCGGCTCAGGTCGTGGTCCCAGGGTCCTGGGATCAAGTCCCGCATCGGGCTCCCTGCTCCTTGGGAGCCTGCTTCTCCCTCTGCCTCTCTCTCTCTGTCTCTCATGAATAAATAAATAAAATCTTAAAAAAAAAAAAAAAAAAAGACGATGAGACTGTTTGCACTGTCAGAGGCTATGAAAGAGCTTATCCCAGAGGCTGGAGACAAACTGTTCATCCTCCATGGGGGGGCATGTCTCCAGGTCAGAGGGACTTACATTAGTGCCTTCCACAGCCACTGTCTGGTGCAAATTCTTGTTACATTTGGCTTAATAAGGATGGCTCTGGAGATACTGTATTCTTTCCAGTGAATGTTGCCCTGTTAGTAGAAGCGAACAATTATTTTGAGTGACACCTGAGAGGCAGTTGCTTTTTCCCTGCCTCACCCTCCCATGTTTGGTCTTGCCTTATGACAAACCAGCTTATTTTACATGGGTGCTTTTCTAGCATTCGTGTATAACTGTGGGACTCCAGGAGGGTATAATCTGTAAAGCCAGGGAGGCTTAGTGAAGGATGTCCCTTGCTGTAAAAAATTAGGATCTTCGTTCCTAAGAGTTCATCTGTTCCTGCTGCTTTATTCCCCACCTGAAGCAATAGTGCTCTGTTGGGGGAGTGATTATGATGTGACAAACGGGGGATTATGACTTCAGGTGAAGAACAGGCAGCGGGAACAGATGAGATTTAGAGGGCTAAGGTTGTGTTTATGTGCAGATGTTAGTAGTAGAGCATAAGAAACTAGAAATAAAACATATGATTATATAGGCTAAAGGGAAATGACATGGTTGGGTATTTCATAAGGTATCAAGTATTTAAATTCCTAACTCTCTGAAGGTTAAAAATAAGATACAGTTTTCAGAATCATGGGAATGTGGTATTGGAAATGGGATATGGGGAATTGGGTCCTTCTTCCTTCCTGAGGAAATTATCATGGTGTGGGATCATCTTACTCCCCTTATTGAACATGCTAGTGTGCGCTTCTCCCTGGGACCAAGAGAAAAGAACCACGGATAATACATATATGCTGCTAGAAGACAACACAGTCTCTGGAACTTTGACGACAGGTTACCCTGGGCCCTTCCCTCCCCATGGCTCTGGTTGGATAACTCATGTCTGCTGATTGTCTGCTTTCCTGGCCTCTTGAGATATTGGAACTCCTTTGTGACAAAAATCGAGTCAAACTAAATTATACACATACTCAAGGATGTATATCTGGAAAGTCCAAAGGAGAGGAGTTTGCTTCTGGTGTGTGTAGAATCCAGAAGACAAAAACAGTGTCATCAGTCTCTCTTTTCTCCCTCTTGTGTTCTGCTTTTTTCCATGTTGGCTTCGTTCTTAGGCAATAAAGATGATCCCTGGTAGTTGCTAGTTTGTTTATTCCTTAGGCTTCTTAGTCCCAGAGACAAGTTGGTGATTCTCTTTTGCCCATAATGAATCTGAGGAAGGCCTCTAATCAGCTACAAGTGTCCACCCCTGAGGCTGATGGTGGGGGTCACATTATTG